TTTTTTTACATTGTCAAATGGTAACATAGGTGTTGCACAATTTGTTTTTTCATTACCAATTGATGTGTGTTTTGGAATTGCTTCTAATAATGATGGATATATGATTGTTACAGGAAATGGTTTGGTTATTATTTAAATTAAAGATTTAAGTTAGTTCAAATTAATTTTCTTAGCTAAATCTTCTATTATTTCAGTAAATCAAACATCATTTGAAACGGTTCGTACAGATGGTCCATTCAGAAGTTTAACAGGTGGATATACAACAGTTTATTCATCTTATCTAAAACAATTTATTGTTTATGGTCGTGAAAGATCTAGGTTTGGAAGATTTTCATTAACATTAGTAGGTGATTTAATTGATTATGAACCGTCATTTTCTGGGTCATCAACAGTGTTTGTAGATAATCAAATGTTAACCCTTGGATTTGTACCAAAAATTGGAGGAGGATTTATTAAGATATGTCAAATTGATCATATCCCTCGTTTAGATGCACCAATTGTTGATAATGCTTATATTAAGGATAATGTTCAATTTGATGAAGCAGGCCATGATAATAATGAATTAACACATCTTGGTAAAGGAGCTGCAACAATATGTGTAAAGAATCCAACAACAAATGAATGTACATATGTGTTGTTTGCAATTGGAGATCATATTAATCCTAAAGAGGGATATAATACAACATTTATGAAAATCTTCACTTTAGATAAAAACTTAGAAAATAAAAGTCCTTATTATGATGATGCATGGGGAACAAAATATCCAAGTTATAGTAATAATAAAGGAATTTTTAATCTTGGTGATATGACTTCTAGTGAATATATAAAATTCTGGTATAATGAAGATATAAAATGGTTATTTGTTATGAGTCAAAATACAGACATTGGAAATAAAGAAAGTAAAAGCGATACACCATGTGTATTAGTAATTAAACCAAGTTATGATACTAATACAAATAAAGTTCATATAGATTTTGATTTTATAAATACCCCAACATTTAATTATATTCATATTGATGACACTCATTCATTTGGACAAGTAATTGATACTTCATATGATTCAGATAAAAAAATATTATATTTAGTAATTTCAGCTCCTGAAGCTATTGTAGAACATTCAAATATTGCATATTCTATGGGTCTTATTTATCATTATACATATGATGAAGAACAAGGTTTTCAATTTAAAATGTATTTTGTACCTCCAGTATTAGAAAATAATTATGGATTTGGTCGTGCTGTTGCTATTTATAAAGAAGAAAAAATAAGAAGAGTTTTTATAGTTAATGCAGTTGATAATCATGTTTATGAATCTACAATTCCTGTATGTGGAGATGGTATTGTTACAACAGAAGTTGGTGAAGAATGTGAAGAAGGAGATGGATGTAAAACAGAAAAATGTTTATGTATTGATAATTATGTTGCAACAAATGGTAAATGTGAATTAAAATGTGAAAGAAATACATGTAATTGTGATTTAACAAATCCATGCATATCATGTAATGTAGAACATTTAAATATAAGTACAAGATGTCAAGAATGTGATAGTGGATATGAATTATTAAATGGAATTTGTAAAACAGTATGTGGAAATAAAATAAGAAGTTCAGATGAACAATGTGATCAAGTAGATAATTGTGATGAAAATTGTACATGTTATGTTGGATATATTCCCTCAGATAATTTAGAAAATAGATGTATTATTTCAAAGAAAAGTGGATTAATTGCATGGATGGCAGTTCAAGCAGGTATTGCAATAATAGTAATTGTTGGAGTATTGGCATTTATTTTAATAAAATTATACATCAAAGCAAGGTCAAGATTAAATATTACTGGAAGTGGTGGAGTTGTTATTTATGAATCAGGATCAACAGCTAAACTTCAACAATTTGAAGAAAATGAAGCAGAAAGATATCCATTATATTATATTAATAATTCTCCATTTATGTATTCATTCTCTAATGAAATTAATTTCTATCTTGAAGAAGATTTAGAGCATATTGTTGATAAATTAGAATTGAAAAAAAAATATGTTTTTCAATTATTTGTTGGTAATAAATCATTAAATATTTGTAGTTTTGCTATTGGTGATCCTCGTTTAGATAAAGATGATTATGATTTAGAATTTACTCCTGATAAAGGTAATATTAGAGCTGGTGATATTATTTGTATCTACGGTAAACTTACTCCTTTAAGAGAATGTGCTGTTAAAGAAAATTTCACTTTAACTGTAGTTAATTTAAATACTACAAAATCGTATATTCAAAATATCCCTCTCGCATTTAGTGTTGAAGACTAATTCTTACTTTATTTTTTTTTTCTCTTTAAATTAATTTTATTTTTCTTCTCTGAGTTTTGAAAAATTCAATTTGAAGAATTATAACCTAAAATAATGTTAATAGTATTATCATTTGATTAATTTGTAACTCATTCAATTGGTTGTATCTCTATTGAAAATAGTTATTTAACTGTTATTTCTTTTTTTCATAAAAAAATGATTCAAAAAACTCATAATAAATTTTAATTAATTAGAGTCATTAAAAACAAAAAATTAACAAAAAATTTTTTAAAAAGAGAAAGTAATTAAAATATGAAAATTAGAAGCCAAAGAGAAAGAAAGGTTGTTCCTCATTATTCAACTGGATTAATCAAAGGAACTGAGTTGTTTCAAGGAAAGGGTATTCCTCTTGGAATTTCTAAACGTATTAAAGAAGGTATAGATAATTTATCATTAGATTCTCTGATTTTACTTCATAGACTAATGTATCATAAAAAAGGTGAAGATTCAGAACGATTAGATGACATACTTTTGTTCAGTGGATTTAAAGATATTAAACAAAGAGAATTAGCAACTAGGATAGCTCAAAGACTTAGTGAAGATGATATTAAACCATTATGTAAATTATTTGATATAGAATGTGAAGAAAAGGATGAGATGGTTAAAGAGCTGGCTGACTTTCTTTTTGCCCCAAAGCTTTTGAAAAGAGACTTTAAATTAAGTTGTATAGAAACAATGGATGAAAGTGAGGACAGTGAAGAAAACCTCCGTAAAGTAGAAGAAATGCTCAATTTAGCTGAAGAAGATGAAAAGGTATATGATCCAGAAGAGATGATGTCGGAAGAAGAAGAAGAGTGTAGTGTTAGTGATAAAAAAATAATAAAAAAACAGTCTGTTCAAGAAAAAGGTCAAGAACAAAACGAAAACAACGAAGAACAAAACGAAAACAACGAAGAACAAAATGAAAAGGAAAAAAGTAAAGAAGAAAAACCAAAAAAAGAATTTTCATCAGAAGAGAAGAAAATCTATCTCACAATTTCTCATAAAAAAGAAATTGAGAAAAAAAATAAAAAGCAAGCAAAATAATAATCAAAATATGATTATATAATTGATATATCATTTGTTTTTTATAACAAAAATTTTATTAAGAAATTATTTTATTATTACAAATAAACATTTGATTTCTTTAATACAAAAAAAGAATGGGATCAAACATTCTACATTCACCCTGGCCGAGTGTGTAGACCCTTTTGAATCAACTATCGTTCATTTGGGGAAAGAAAGTTCATCACATCCCAATAATAACATTTTATTAAATATTATCAAAAGAATAATTATTACAAAGATAAAATTATGGTTTTTATAATTCTATATTTATAATTATAATAGTTCTTCTTATTTCCGAAGTTATTCGACGAAATAAAACAATATTAATTTATAGAAAAAAACTAACCAGACAATTATTTTAAATTTATTTCAAAATATAAATTTTTTCTTATTAAACTATAAAACTATATTTCATATTTGAGAATCAATAAAAAATAATAATAAATAACATCTCCAAAAAAAACTAAAAAAAAAAAAATAATTTTTACAAAAATAAAATAAGTAAAAAATAGAGTCAAAACTTGAAAAATAAAGAACTAAAAAAATTAAAAAATGGCTGTTTGTTTCTTTTATATTTTACTTAAAAAAGCCAATTATATATAATTTTATAATAAGTTTGAGATCTAAATGCAAAAAGTAATGTGAAAAAAATTGAAAACTGATTATTCAGGAAGATATTGCCAATTATTTCAATTCAATTTCAAGTTCTAACGAATGGGGCAAATACCTTGAAGATGCTGATGTTCGAGAAAAGGCTGAAGCATTACAAAATGCTATGCTTGCATTTTCTGATATGAATACTGGTGCTGGTAAAATTGAAAATGGTAAAAAAGCATTAAAAATAGTTGTAGTTGGTGATGGTGCTGTTGGTAAAACTTGTCTGTTGTTAGCTTTTAGTAAAGGTGAAATCCCAACCGCTTATGTTCCAACAGTTTTTGAAAATTTCTCTCATGTTATGAAATATAAGAACGAAGAATTTATTCTTCATCTTTGGGATACTGCTGGTCAAGAAGAATATGATAGATTAAGACCATTAAGTTATGCTGATTCAGATGTCGTATTATTATGTTTTGCTGTGAATAATAGAACATCATTTGATAATATTTCAACTAAATGGGAACCAGAAATTAAACATTACATTGATACTGCAAAGACTGTTTTAGTTGGACTAAAAGTTGATCTTCGAAAAGATGGTTCTGATGATGTTACAAAACAAGAAGGTGATGATTTATGCCAAAAACTTGGGTGTGTTGCTTATATAGAAGCATCATCAGTTGCTAAGATTGGTTTGAATGAAGTTTTTGAAAAGTCAGTTGATTGTATCTTCTCAAATAAACCTGTTCCCAAAGCTTCTGTTACAACTCAAGCAAAAAGTCAAGAAGTTTGTTTTTTATTTTTTTATAATTTATAATAATAAAAGAAATATTTTATCACTTACACTTAGAATACCCAACAAAAGAAAAAATCAAAATGCCTTTTACAATAAAACGATTTTTTCATAGTAAGTTAGCAAGAAAAAGTTTCATTGAAATCATTTTATTTTTTAATATATTTTCTTTTCGATTTATTATTTATGAAAAGTAAGTTTTCGTGATTTAAAAAAACGAATAATCAATCAATTGTATTTTGAAATAAACAAAGATGAAGAGCCAGACTTTTCTTTGTCAATCAACCAATTTCCTTTTAACTTAGGAATTGCTGGTGGGTAAATATATTTTTCAATACCAGGTTGAACATGGTTTGTACAATGATTATACCCATAGCTTTCCATATACTTTATTGGTTCAACTAAAATTGGGACACTATGATATGATGGCAACAATTCTTCAGGACGAGTCATAGAATAGTATTTATCACAGATTGTATTTGTCCTTCCTTTATGTCTTGGAGCTAATGATTGAACTATTTTAATAAAACGAAGTCGTTCTTTTGACTCCATATCTGCGTGTAATTGAAAATAAATGTCGTCATCAGTATTTTCATCCTCTTCAATTGCACAGCTGTTCTCTTTATTTTGTTCAATATTATCATTTTTGGACTCTTCTTGAATTTCATTTATTTTATGAAATTCTGGTATATCAATGTTTGATGTTCCCTTTGGTAATTTTACAACTTTTTCTTCATTTAATTGAGGTACTATTGCTCGTTCAGCACGTATAACTTCTTCTTGTAGAGTTGATCTTTTTGAATGTGATGGCTCATCTTGAAATACGTCAAGCATTTCAGCCTCTTCAATTTGCTCTTTATGAACTTTCTTGGGTTTTTTTACTTTCTTTTTGTCGTCATTTTTCTTTGGTTTCTTTTCTTTTTTGACTTTTTCTTTAAGTTTTTTTTTCTCGCTAACTATTTTCTCTTCATTTTGTTTTTCGTCTTTTATTTCATTCGGTTGAACAGTGTCTACTGTCATTTCGGGATTAATCATTTTTTCATTCATTTTATCATCTTCCATTTGAATTGTTTGACTAATTTTATTTTTACTCGATCATCTTTTTAATTTTTATTATCTATTTTTTTTTCAATTTTTTTTGTTAAAAAAAAACAATAACTTCTTTGAATTAAGTTATTTGTGTTTTAATTCAAGTAATTACTAAAAATAGATAATTATTTTTTTAAGAGTTAATATTAATTATTTATAATAAATACTTAATCATTAATTAATCCTATTTCCTATGAGATGATTTGAGAATAAAAGAAAGTTAAATAAGTTAAAGAAAGTCTAGTGAATAAAATGATATATTTACAAACAACCAGAACTTAAAACAGAATATAGTTTATCCAAAAATAACCTGTATGATACAGTCATCTTTTCAGATAATTAATTCTTTTTTATGTTCATCAAGTTGTCTTGAGATAATAGACTTTATTTTTCTGCTTTTTGATTTATATCATCTTTTTCTAGTAATGTGATTCCCACCTCTCATTACTTTCTTAATAGATTCTTGTTTATAAGTACCAACTTTTATTTCAATGTATTTACTTTCAAATCCATAACCACTTCAGACAATGAGAAGATCTATAAGAATATAAAGAAGCTCTATTTTTTATTATTATTTTGATATTTTCTTATAGCTGTTTTTATTGGCACAGAATGATAAATATCATCATATTTTAATTCATGAATTCTTCTTTTAAGACATTTACCGAGTTATAATAACATTATTCTCACCAAAGTCAAGACGTTTTAAATGAATATATTGTTGTGTAATAATACTTCTTTTAGTATGTTGTTTGTTAGTAATATCCAAAAAAATCATCCAACAGACAAATACATAATGATTGTTGAAGTGTTTGAAAGTTTATTGATTCATGAGATGCTTTAAAGATAGGTATTTTTCAAGTGGAGTAATACAAAACTTTCTTCTTTAGAATATTTTGTTTTAAATATTTGAATTTTATGAATAGACTTTATAGATGTTTATTGTGCATCAAGAAAGAGAATATTGTTTTTATAAGATTTGTTTGGATAATAAATATCTATTCTATTTCATAGTCTAACAACATAGATACTTTAATATTTTTCCAATTTTCATGATATTTAATCAGGAAAAATAAAATAATACTTTTTTCTTTTTCATTCTTTCTTTTGTCATAAAAATAAATTTCTAAATAAATCTTTTTGATTCATTTTTTCTTTGATGGATTTACAATTGAAGGTGTCATCAATTTCGTCGGACTACCATATTCCTAAGTATTTATACAAGTCCTCACCTTCAACTACGGGGATGTTTTGCATTCCATTTGGTATTTCTTTAATGTTTTTAATACCATTCCTGACTTTTTCTCATTCATTTCAATATGTAACTTATTATTTCCTTAATTTCATTGTTAATTATTCCCATTTCTTCACTACTTTGTGTCATTATTCTCAAATCATCCATATATAAAGTGTGATTTGATTTTGGGAATTTCTCTTCGATGATTTGAGAAATTACATTCATCTGAATGATGAAGAGTAGATTTGATAAGGAATCACATTGTAAAATTCATCTATTTAATTTAATACATCCTAGATATTCATTAAATTTATAACCGATGAATATCTTCCATCTAGTCATCATACTTTCAATAATGTCAATGATGACAAACTCATAATTAAAATATTTTAATGATTCAATTACCTATTCGTGGTTTACTGTGTCATATGCTTTCTTAATGTCATAATATGACTCCACATATTTTGGGTATTCTCTTCTTTTTGCTGCTTCATCATATAACTATTAATTATTCCTTCTTTAGCAGCTAAAGATTGTAATTTACATCCCAATTGGTTGCTACTGATTTTAAATGATTCATTAATCATGTTAAGTCTTCTGTGAATATTTTCTTTTAATATGGAGGTAAATACTTTCATTATTACATTTGTACAACTGATATGACGATAATTAGTGACGTCGTTCCTATCACTTTGTGGATTAATAAAGTTTTTCCACTTACCATGTCTAATGGGATGTTTTGAATGAAGTTCAACCATTCATTAAAGATACTAAGAATGATTTCTCTTGATGATGACATTCTTTTCAAATAATACACATATATAGTGTCTATTCATGGTGTTTTCCAGTTACTTATTTTCATTATACTTAAATTTAATTCATTTATTGTTATAATGACACTATCATAATTGATATATCTTTCATTCCACGAGGTGATTTGTTTTATTTTCCATTTCTCTTTATTTAATCTCACCTGTGTTTCGTATAACAATTTCAAATATTCTAAAGTAATATCGTTATTTTTGTATATTTCATTTTTTGTTTCTTCTTTATTTTAATTTTCTTGTTAGAATCAAACATGATTTTATTTGTATTGATTCTGACCCTTTCTTCCTTATTAAATGTAATTCTTTCTTTGATCATAGTCATCATATATTTTAGGTATTTTATTCTTTCTAGTGCTTTGACTTTTATTCCTTCTTCATCATGTTCTTTTAATTTCATGATGCACTTGATTCTGTACAATTTCCTTCCCTTAACCAAATCTTCTAGTCTATTTATTTTATTTAGGATTTCTTTTATTTCATCAAATTTGTCTCTTATTATTTTATTTTGGAGATAGAGGTGCATAATCATTGAAATCCTCTTCATATCATCTTGCAGATCCTGCATTCTGCTTCCTGACCATATCCATCTATTATTAATTTCCATTATTAATTCGTTAGCTTCTTTTCTTTGAAAGTAGTAATTAATGTTTGAACATTTTCTACTTTCATTTATTTCACTTTATTGATGAGAGTGTTAAGGTATTCTTCATCAATTTCTGTAGAGTTATTTTTTATTATGATTTTTTTTATTATTGAATCACACTCTACTCTTCCTTCTATTATATCATTTACTTTCATTTTAATGTACCGTTTAATGCTTTCTTTTATTTTATATGACATTTTAATATATTTAATATATTCTTTTTCATTATTTACATTAATGTTTATTGATTTTATTATACTCTCTATTTGTTCCCATCTTAATTTCTTATATAATTTCTTATTTAACCAATTAATTGCAAAACAATACAACACTTCAATTAAAATTCTATTTGTTTGTTCTGTTGTATTTCTTGTCTGATTATCATCTCTTGTTTTTTGACAATCAGTGCTTTGCTTTCCTCTTCGATTTCCACTACTGTCTTTTTCATAGGAGTAGTTTCGTTCATCTCCATCGTTCCTGATGATGTTTTCCTCAATACTGGTTGTGTATTTATCACAAGTGTCATCGTTTTCTTCTTCTCTAGTTCCTTCTGTGAGATAAAATTTTCAATATCATCTTGTTGTTTTGATATTATTTGTTTTTGTGTCTCATTTTCTTTTTGTGTGTTGTCTAATTCTTCTCTTGTTCTTTCTGCAATCTCATGACTTCTTATTGCTGCTTGTTGAATTTCAGAGATTTGTTTTTCTTTCTCTCTTATTTCCTTCTTCAATTCTTTAGTATTTTTCTCTATCATTTCAATCTTCTTCTCTAGTGTGTTTGTATTTTGTTCTAGTATCTTGTTTCTCTTTTTCAACTTTTCAATTTCTTCTTTCATTTCTTCATTTTCTTTTTCCATCTTCTTTTTATTAGCTTGGATACTTCGGATTTTTTCTTCTTTGTTATTTACTTCTGTGATTTTCTTTCCTTCTATCTCATTTATTTTTCCTTGTAATTTTAAATTTCTTTCTTCTAATTTTTCATTTTCTTTCTTCATTTCTTCATAATTCGTTTGAATCTTTCTATTTTGTGTTTTCATTTCTGTAATTTCTTCTTCAAATTCTTTCCTAACTATTTCTTTTGCTTTTCTCATCATTTCTTCTGAAATCGCTTGTTCTTCTTCCATTCTTTTCATACTGAATTCTTTAACTTTTTCTTTTAATTCATTAATTTGATTTTTCAGTGCAAGTATTTCTTCTTCTATTTCTTCTTCTTTATTTTTTGTTTCTTCTTGTATTTTCATTATACTTTCTTTGCTATTTATTATTCTTGCAATTTTACATCTATCATTCATTTCTTTATTTCGATTTTTGTTTTTAATTTCTGCTTCTATAGCCTTAATGTCTTTTTCCTCCCAATCTTTTGTTTTTTCTTTAAACTCTTCTTTAGTTTTTTCATTTATCTTTTTCTTTTTGATTGAATATACTTCTTGAAGGATATCATACCATCTTTTCCTTTTACCTTCATATTTTTTAAGTATTTCTGAATATTCTCATTCATTCCATTCACTTGTTATTCTTTTTATTCTTTCTTGTAAATCATTTATGGTTATTCATTTATATTTGTTATTTGTATAATCTTTATTATTATTATATTTACCTTGTTTTTTATTTGTTTTTCTTTGCGTCTTTCGTCTTCTAAACCCTTTTTCCTTGGTGTATCGTTTACCTTTATTATTATAATTGTTATGCCATTTATTGCTATTAACATTCATTTTTTTGTTGTATGACCTTGGATTTCTATGTCTTGTTTGCTTTTCTTTACAAGACACTAAGGTTTTACACAATAGCCATGGCATTAAAATTTGTTGTATTTCCTGCATTGGAAAAGGATCTGATGAATTTCATTTAAAATGGATATAAAATAAATAAATGAAAATTGTGTTTATTGCAAATAATTATATTTAAATCAACAAATAAACAGTTTCAATAAATTATATCAAACAAATAAGAAAGAAAAAGAAATAAATATAAAATAAAACATAAATAATATGAAATAAATAAAAAATCAGTTAATTAAGTGTTAATAGAATTTTCATCTATTCTTCATTGATCATAGGAGATTAATCACATTCCTGAACTTATTTTCAAAGAATAATCTCTTTTTTAATATATTCTTTGAGATTTTGTATGAGTATGAGAAAATCAAATCTTTCTTTTATTTACTTCTATTAAGCTTTTCTCAATTTTCTTTCTGTTTTCTTTCTTCTTTTATCTTTAGTTTTATTTCTATTTTAATTTTAAATAATATCATTTTTCTTTATTCTAAT